GATCGTATGTGTGTGTGTGTGTGTGTGTGTGTGTGTGTGTGTGTGTGTGTGTGTGTGTGTGTGTGTGTGAGAGAGAGATAGAGATACACTGAAGTTTAAGGATTTGACCACCTAAGTATAAGGAACCTCATACAAACTTATTTTATACAAAACATGACATGAACATGCTCAAAATGTTTGAGCAATGACATATTTGTTTTTTGCCACAACGTCCTGGATTCCTGCATTTCCAATGAAAAACTGAAAAAGGGATTTTTGAAAGTTTGCAGAATGACTTCTTGTAGTTTGGAAGCGTCAATTAGAATAGGATAAAAAAAAAAATCAGTAATGTTTCAGAAAAATGCAGCCTTTAATATACACACATTTTGTACTGAAGTTTAAGGATTTGACCACCTAAGTATAAGGAACCTCATACAAACTTATTTTATACAAAACATGACATGAATATGCTCAAAATGTTTGAGCAATGACATATTTGTTTTTTGCCACAACGTCCTGGATTCCTGCATTTCCAATGAAAAACTGAAAAAGGGATTTTTGAAAGTTTGCAGAATGACTTCTTGTAGTTTGGAAGCGTCAATTAGAATAGGATAAAAAAAAAAATCAGTAATGTTTCAGAAAAATGCAGCCTTTAATATACTTATTTTTACACACTTTAATGAAGAAAACTAAGTTTAATACAAATGGCTATTTTTATTTATTTATTTATTTTTACTGACATAAATAGGTACATTTAAAAAAAGGAGCTATTTATTGTATTTATGAAAGGTCCAGCGAAAATGCTGACATGACAAGGAAAAATCTTTAATGTTGAGACTTGTGTCATAAGTAATGCCTTTTAATTGTCTTATTGAAAAACTGGGTATTTTTAATCTTTGTTTTCATTTATATACACTATATCAATATTAATATTTACTTTTGTTTAATTTTGTATTCCCAAGCTTAGACAGATGACAAAGACTGTGGGCAACTCCTGTGCAATCCAACACTATGCTGTCCTTACACACCGTGTCCATCTGGAGCTGCTCTTCAAGTTGGTCTCACTGTAGGGGAGGCAGAAGAGTCCTGAAGTGGCTGCTGGGAAATGTCGAGCAGAGAACATTCACGTCATCCAACCTAAAATTCTCGCCAGCTGTAGGGAGAGTTGCTCCTGTTTTCTCCAGAGCTTCTGCGTATGGAGACAATGTGGCCATTACGGATCACAGCGGGAGCCACACCTACCGCTCCCTCTACAAAAACAGTAAAAGCCTGGCGGGGCTCATTACTAAAGCACTCACCTGCCAATCAGGAGACCTGCAGGGCAAGCGTATCTCATTCCTGTGTGCCAATGACGCATCCTACACTGTGGCGCAGTGGGCGGCCTGGATGTGTGGCGGCATAGCTGTGCCCCTCTACAGGAAGCATCCTCCAAGTGAGCTGGAATATGTCATCTCAGACTCCCAGAGCGAGCTGCTGGTAGCCGGACAACCTTTCATGGATACCATTGAGCCCTTGGCCCAGAAACTAGGGCTGCCCTGCCTACAGCTTCCCACCACGTCTAGCCTAGATACGCTACAGTCTGAGGACACACGGATGCTGCCTGAGGAGAACATCTCAGACTGGGCAGAGAGGCCAGCCATGCTCATCTACACCAGCGGCACCACGGGCAGACCAAAAGGAGTGCTTCACACTCACAGCAGCCTGCAGGCCATGGTAAATGAGTATTTATTATATGACCCTGGACCACAAAACCAGTCATAAGGGTCAATTTTTTAAAAATGTGGATTTATTCATCTTCTGAAAGCTGAATAAATATGCTTTCCATTGATGTATGATTTGTTAGGGTAGGACAATATTTGGCGGATACAACTATTTGAAAATCTAGAATCTGAGGGTGCAAAAAAATCTATTTATTGAGAAAATCGCCTTAAAGTTATCCAAATGAAGTTCTTAGCCATGCATATTACTAATCAAAAATTAAGTTTTGATATTTATGGTAGGAAATTTACAAAATATCTTCATGGAACATGATCTTTACTTAATATCGTAATGATTTTTGGCATAAAAGAAAAAACGATAATTTTGACCCATACAATGTATTTTTGGCTATTGCTACAAATATCCCTGTGCGACTTACGACTGGTTTTGTGGTCCAGGGTCACACATATTAAATGTGTGTGTGTGTATATATATATATATATATATATATATATATATATATAATATGTGTGACCCTGGACCACAAAACCAGTCGTATAGTAAAAAATAGCCATTTTAAATAGCCATTTATATATATATATATATAATACACATGTATTCTCATAAATAGGACACATGAAAATTGTATCAACTTTAAATAGTGATGCTGACCATGTAAAATCAGATTGGATGAGCCACATTTGAAGCTGTTTGGAAATAAAATTTGCTAACAATTTTCACTTGCTAAAAAAAAAATAATAATAATAAATCTCATAGCCATGTTAAGGGAACAGAACATCAATAAAATAGCCATATCAAGGCCAAAAAAGCTTTACTGTTAAATGCCTGATTTGGCTCTATTATTAAAAAAAAAATGGTTAAACTTCTGCAAACATTCAGTGTAACATAGTCTGTCTGTTTGTCTGTTTGTCTGTCTGTCTGTCTGTCTATCTATCTATCTATCTATCTATCTATCTATCTATCTATCTATCTATCTATCTATCTATCTATCTATCTATCTATCTATCTATCTA